CTGGATATGCCACACTGCACATGGCTAATTCAAACAGAAACATCTGGAGACTGCAGCTCTCTGGTATGAGAAGAGCTATGGCTGATCCTAAGTGTTACCAGAATCACAAAATAGCAGAGGTTTCAGTCCACCTCACTGTCCGCTTAACAATTCTACACTTCAACAGCTTATCTCTGAGGATGTTTTAGAAGACTGTGCTGAAAGGCAGGCTAACAACAAGATAAAAAATACCCACTGCTTTCTCCTCATCCACCAAGCCAGTCCTCTCACTGTAGACTGCTCTGAGATTGGTTAAGCACAATTTCCCTTTCATAAATCCATGCTGACTGCTCTTAATCACTTTTTAGTCTTACATGTGTTTGCAAAGTTATGAAGAGGATTTTTTTCATTACCTTTGTGCATTTCAAGGTGTAGCTAGGCATGTGTAGTTTCCCAGATCCTCCTTCTTGTTCTCCTTGAAGACAAAAGTTACATTGCTTGGAGTCTTCAGACCCTCCCAATCACCCTGACTTTTCAATGATTATTGAGAGTGACCTCGCAATAACACCTGCCAGATTCCTCTATGCTCATGGGTGCATCCCAGCAGGGCCCATGGACTTACATATGTTGGCTTTGTTTGTGTGTTCTCTAACCTGTTTCCTCTGCATTGATGGTGAGTCCTCCTTGTTCAGGAGATGAACAATGCTGGAGAAGTTCACTTTGTGAATGACTAAAACCCCTTAGTGCCTGGGGACTGCAGCAGCTCAGGAAGGAGGAAGATTTACATGGCATGGGGACCCAGGAGAGGCAGAGGAGGATGGGAAAATTACACAGTTCATTTAAAAAGAAAAATTAAGGAAGTCAGCTGGTGTCAGAGTAAAATAGATGCAATCAGTAATCAAAACAGAGCATGAATAGCAACTGGAATTGTACATCTAAACACCCAAAGAAGTTGAACCTGACTTGTGCAATCAGTGCTGACAGATCCTGATTCAGTACAATGCCTTTTCCTGGCCATATCCCTGCTGAGATCTACCACAGGGATCACTTCTACATATTGCTTGCAGTGAAGTAAAACACTGACCATAGTTATTAAAAAGCCCCAAATTACTACCCTGAGGAAAGCAGAGCAAAATTGCCAGGAATACCAGACACACAGATTACTAAATATCCCAAAGACCACAAGGAAAGAAAAGCTCTGTACAATGAATGGAGATGTGTCCCCTAAAGCTTCCTCAGCTGAAGTCTTTTCTACCACAAGAAATTTGACAACCTTGTTTAATTTAAAAATGCATTTAGGATCATATTGTAGAAAACAGTCCATAGCCTTGCCAATCTTCCCAGGGGCAGGAGCTTTGTACAAGAGGTTGGAAAGGAAAATATGTCTTTGCTCAGTCTGACCTGTAATTCATTTCACATGCAAAAGCAGAGGTCCTGGGAAGAGGAAGGCCAGAAGAAACACACTGTATGTTCCCAGGGTTGGAGAGATGTGGGTCAAATCCCTGTTCTGTTTTCTCATTTCCCCTTTGCTGTGACGATATAAAAACATTATCCTTTCTCAATCTGATGTTCTCAGGATAAATACACTAATAAATTCAGGTGTGCAGTTGCTGCCTTGTACTATTTAGGTAGTTCCCTATCATATGTATATTTCATCTTTAAATGCTGCATGAGTCAAAATCCTCCAAACGTAAAAGTAAGGCTTCTGTAAGATACAGCCTGGCTAATGTAGGATTCTGAGGAACATTGTAGTGCTCTGATGGCCTCAAAAGAGCCCTTATATATAAAAATGCACAGAGATTGGTCCCAAAGTATTAGCCCTTAGATACTTAGGCCAGTGCTTTCAGAGCTAAGACCTCAGGAATGTAGTGTAGATCATCCATGCCATGCATGGGGATTTGTGTTAGCTTTGGCAGCAGCTACAGCCATCAGAAACAGCAATAAGCCAGAACAAACCATTCTGCCTGGGTAATCATCCACGTCCTGACCTCCTTGCATCTCTGCTGGCTTCTTAATGCTTTGCTGCACCTGGACCTAGCAGAAAACCATTTTCTGCAGGAGAGAACAAGGTCACAGGGTTATGTATGGGTGGACCTTCACAGATCAATTGGTGTTTCTTCATGAAGTTAATCTGAATAACCTAAGCATTCATTATATTTTCTTAAATATAGGATCGGGGATCATGCATGCAGTGCTCTTTCACCTCTGATTCTCCCTCTCTACTATGCTCTCGTGAGACTCCACCTAGACTGGAGTGCTGCATCCAGGTCTGGGGCTCCCAGCACAAGAAAGATGGACCTGACCATCTTGGAATGAGTCCATATGAGGCCACTAAGTTGATCACAGGGCTGGAACCCCTTTTCTATGAAGACAGGCTCAGAGAGTTGGGGCTGTTCAGCCTGGAGGAGAGGAAGCTCTGGGATGACATTAAACCACCTTCCAGTACCTAGACAGGGCCTGGATGGGGCACTAAGTAATCTGCTCTAGTGGAAGGTGTCCTGGCCCATGGCAGTGGGGTTTGGAGCTAAATGATCTTTAAGGTCTCTTCCAACACAAACCATCCTATGATTCTACTATTACCACTGCCCAGCTGGGCACAGTATCTTAGAACTGGTAAAAGAGGCTTAAAGAAATGATACATATATATTTCTTTTCACATATCCCAAACACATTGAAAAATTAATTTTTGTGAAGGTCAGAGATGGGATTGGTATCTTTGTAAACAGAAATAAATTTGGTGCTATATTGACCCACCATGCTGAACATACCTGAAGTGGAGGGAGTTGCTGCCAGCACAGAAGTTGCTTCAAGAGCTTGGTAATGACCCTGGCAGGTTATAAATCTAAAAGATTTTCTGTGTCTAACCTTAGAAAAATCATAAATGTTTAGTTCCTCCTTTTTAAAAATTAATAACCTCTCCTCCTTGAGCCTGAAATGTGTTTCTGTTGGAAAGAGGCTCGGCACGATGAACACTGCATGAATGCTGCATGAATTTTGGGTCCCCCCAAACTGCAGGACAGTCCTGCTTGTGCAGGATTACAAGCATGGAAGCTGCAAGAAGGCATGGCTCTTCTATGGCAGGGAGCTACTCAGGGAGCTGAGATCACTGGAACAGGTTTCATATTGGAAACCTTTTGATTCAGACTCAAAGGCAAACCAACAAAAAGGCTCTTCCTTCTCGGGCAGGGAGAAAGGTTGGTAGTAATTATCTTTTAGGGAGGTTTGGTTGTAGTAGACCTTTAGGAAGCCTGTGAAACTTAGTAACTGGATGCTACCCATCTTAAAAGACTTGAAGAAATGGTTGATTTGCAGGAAAGAAAATCAGGTAAGTGAAAAAATGCTAACAGTTGGGATTGGAACAAAGAAACATGGAACAGGATTGGTATCAAATCCCCTTTGCTGGAAGTTTCTAAAAACAGAGGAAGTGATTGGTGAGTGTAAGGGGAACTGATAGAACTTTGGTGTGGAAACAATTACCAAGGAGCCTCCCAGCCACACATCTGAATGGCACTACTGCTGAGAGGTGATGCTGGCAGCATTGCAGTGGAGAGGCAAGGAATTCAGAGGAGAGACAAGATGAGACAGAGCCAGATGGCCGTGTCAGGGCCCATGCCCTGTGCGGTCCCTGTGTGACTGGATTGAGGAATCCCAGCTATGGGATACCAGCCCCGGCAGCCTTGCCTGTCCCTAATCCTGCAGGTCACCTCCTGAAGCAGAAGTGTTCATGGCTCCTATTAATTTCTCCTTTTGTGTCTTGGAGGTTGTTACAAATGTTGATCAAAGTTTCTTTCTTTGAGTTAATGATCTGAAAAATCATAAAACATGCCCAGTTTGGAATTAGTGTGGGAGTAACTCAATGACTAAAAAAAGTTTGGTGAGTTGACCTTCATGTACAATTGTACACTGTTATTTTGTGATCTACATTTAGATTTTTTTCCACTTAAATCACTGTGCATCCTGTTTCACAAATTCCAATAAACATTTTGAAACACGCTATAAATACAATTCATTCTTGTCTTGTAAATGTCTCTGAACTACACCCGTCACCAGGAGAGTGGTGTCCCTAGCAACTAATATAAAAACTAGGGGGGACAAAAAGCACTAAGACTGAACCTATTTCATGAACACGTGATACATCCCATTCTGAGGTACTATGAAGTTTTTTTGACACTTGTTTTGTAATACTGTCCTCCCAGACAATGTGGCTCCATATGTTGTAGAAGACATCCCTCAGCTCTTTCTTGCAGAGGTGGCAGCAGGCAGCAATGTGTCAGTGCTTGCCTCTGCAGGGGAGGTGATCCCTGAAACCCAGAGAGCAGCAGAGGCCGGTCATGCAGCAAAGCCAAGCAGATGTCAGTTATGGGAAAACATAAAGGAATCTTTGCCAAAAGTGTCTGAGCCACTAAGTTCAGGCAAGAAAATTCCTATTTGGCACCCTAGTGTTTTAAACAAATGTAGAGAACTGATGGGTCCTGCTGAAATACAGCTTATGGTAGTGGTCAGCAAAGGGGATGATGTATGGAACAGATACTGAAGGGTTCTTTACAGTCTGCAATGAAAGAAATTAAAAGTTCCTGGAAAAAGCAGCAAGGCACCTTGAATATATACATACACAAAACTGGGTCCAGCCCTGCAGACAAGGACTTAGGGCAGTTGGTGTATTGGACATGACCTGGCAGTGTGCACATGCAGCTCAGAAGCCCAAATGTATCCTGGGCTGCATCAAAAGGAATGTGGCCACAGGTGGAGGAGGAGGATTCTCCCCATCTACTCCATTCTCACGAGATCCCATGTGAAGGCCTGCATCCAGCTCTATACAACACAAACGCAAGGCTGGTGCAGTGCAGGGACTTAGGTCTGAAGAGGGACTGACCGAAGAGTGCGGAAGGTTGCACATGATAGTTGTGGTCCTTGAGATCATCCACCCGCACCTTCCACAGTCCCACAGGCTTGAACACGCTGTGTATCTAGGAGGGCTGAAATGCTACCAAACCAGAATGGCGGCGAGGCAGTCTGTAAGAGGAGCTGATAGCTTTTATTAGATCCATGAAACAGTGGTGGGAAATAAAACTGTTAAATAAAAAGGAACAAAGACAAGCCTTCAGGTACGAAAGCCCCTTCTGGGGCCTGCAAGAGGAGCTAAAGTGAGACCTGTTGTGGTAGCACTCTTAAGGTCTGTGTTGCCACAGGGGTGGAGAACTGGACCCATTGCCACAGGAGGGGCGAGCAGGGACATTTGAACCCAGTCACCGTAATGGGTACAGGTTAAAAAACATGTCGTTGTTGCAGTAGTTGAGACAGACTTGGTGGCCTCCCCCACCCCTGTCTCCTCCGCTTCCCCTTGGAGGCAGCGAGAGCTGTGGGTGAGGCTGTGCCGCACTCGCCATGGGGCAGGGCTCTCCCTGAGGCACGGGGTGGGGCGGCAGACAGAGGCAGACGCTGCTGTAGGCCAGAGGGGATTTCACCCCACAGGATCCATCTCCCAAAGAGCCCACATCAGACCTGAAGGGGTCATGGCCACCATCTGCCACGTGCTGGGTGCTGAGGTGGGCGCACTGCTGGGGAGAGGGGGCTGTGCTGGGCACAGCAGGGACACTGCGCAGCCTCTCAGCTCTGGGGGTCCCCCTGAGGGACAGCCTTCGGCTCCAGGTTGGTGGCTCCCTGGAGGCCTCATCCTCCCCAGCTGTCCTTGGGTATGGAAGATGCCCAGAGCAGCTGCTCAGCGTTGGCTCCTGGGAGCTTTTGCTTAAATGTCCCCTGAAATTAGCAGGTGGCATGTGAGCATCCGGGTTGGAAAGAAGCAAAGGCAAAGGCTCCTGTGTTGGCATTGCACCTGCCAGAGACTTGGGAAAGCAAGGCATGGGTTAGTGAAACAAGGTGTGGCATAGAACCTCTCCTCTGTGAGCTGCTTACAAAGGCACTCAACTAACACAATGGCTGGGTTTGATGATCTTAGATGTCTCTTCCAACCTTGACCATTCTGTGGTTCCGTGAATACAGGTAACAAAGCAGATGGCAGAGCAGAGCCTCCGCCACTATAGCGGGGGTGCCCATGGGCTGTAGGGGCAAACTGAACAAGGCTCCCAGCTCTTGGCTCTGCGTTTGTTTCACCAGTTTTTGCCCAAAGCCTGTTTTGCGCTGGAAGAGTTGTTTAGACCTTGCATTCACAGCCCTTTGGGTCCACTGCCAGCATATACTGAAGAAGGACTTAAAAATGAAATTATGCTAATACATTTCACACCACAGATTTTTTTTTTCTATGGAGATTGGAAAAGCTGAGTATGATTTTTTTAATACTGACTGTTTTCACTACAAAAATATTCTCCTTCAGCTTTTTTAGAGTCTATTTCTAACTAATAAATTTTCCTATCTTTACATTTTTTTACCCCACAAAGAGAAATTTCATTCAGGTAGGGATCAGCACACAAGAATTATTCTTCTGGATCTTCTGGATATTTCACAACTTCTTTAATTGCTCCAATTATTGGATTATAATTATAGAAACTTTAACTCCTTTCAGAACACTCATTTCAAATGAGTGCTTGCAGGTCTTTCTTCTTTATAATTCTGCTTTTTCATTCATTTAATTATAGTGGTTTTGCAGACTGCTGGAGCAACAAAGCACCTTTCAGTTGTTCTCCACTCATGAGAAAAAATTCCAACAATTTGGTGTAGGACCCAGCCCACCCTCAGCTACAGACCTGCCACCGATGCCATAGAGAGACCATCCTATAAATCACTTGCTCAATTTTGGTCTCACCTTTTTCTGAAGTTCTCCTCCCCGATTTCTTGTGAACACATTAAAACTGACTCTTTTCAGAATACATTTTCCAGGTTGAACACATTAAAACAAAATCTTTTTGGAATATATTTTTGCAGATTGATAGACACAGGTTCTGTGTGACAAATCAGACTCCTGAGTTAGCTGTATTACAGCTAGTTTGGCAAAACAGGAATATGATGGGTTATGCCCAAGGAAAACCTGCTGGAGAGCTGTGAACTGGAAAACCAATGAGGATAAATGGCCTTAGTCTGACTGTACAGAATCAGAACAGCCAAAGAGCAGGCTCTACTATTAGACATTTGTGACATCTTTAGTCTGTTTCTAATCCCACACAATTGAAAGTGAAAGTCTCAGGAAGATGCTTTAGGAAGGGAAAGATGAAGACATGTCTACAGGAAGCTTGACCTAAGCAAGTAGGCTGACCAGTAGGCTCAGTTATAAAAGAAAGAAAGTCGTGCGGCTCAGTCATATTTCCTAGGTGGAAACTATTTCAGTGTTCATGGAAACAGAAGTAAACCAGTGATAGGAAAAGCATTGTTGCTGTATTTGTTGGACAATTAGATCAGCTGGTTTTTCTCATACTTTTGTTCCCAGGCATTTGTGTCAAGAGGTTCTGGTTTTTAGTGTCCTCCTGAGTATTTCCAGTAGAAATAGCTGCAGCTTCTAAATTCACGTTCTATTCAAATGGGTTTAACTTCCTGTGTGCACATTTTATCTGCTTCTTGGGTTCCCAGATCCCCTTGCTTCTCCATGTCATCCACTTAAGAAATCCGTCCCCACCCAGAGCAATTATCCCTTCTGTCTGTGGCTGAAAGCATGGATTACTACCTCTAACACCAGGTTGGGGGAATGCACCACCCCTAATATATCAAGAGACACTGCATGTGAGTACTGGTGATGACAATTGAGTTTAACACAGCCTTTGCAATGAAAGTCACTGGGATTCCCTCCATCAGTTATGCAGCAGTCCCAAGGATCTCTGGAGATGCTTTCACAAGTGTTTCCACACCCATCACAGCTGGTGTTTTACCATCAATGCTTCAGAAAGTTCTTCAAAGCACTCTTCTGCCTTCAAACCAGGCAAATGAGGTACAGGTTATGCACCTTCACCCTTTCTTGCCGAAACTCAAGGGGAACAACCAGAGGTGGAGCGTGCCTTCACCTTTCTTGGTAGTGCCAAGAAATAGGACAAGAGGCAATGGGCAGAAAGTTATGCACAGAAAGTTCCACGTGAATGGTGATGAAACTTATCCTGCCCTGCAGCCCTGCTTTGTTTACCAGTGTAGATGCAATCTCCTGCTACCACCAGGTGCAAATTTGCTCTGGAGAGGAGGTGCTGGCAGTGGATGACAGCGCTAAGGAGAGCAGGATGCTCAGGACATCCCTGGTCCTTCTTGGCCTGATCATGGGCATGCAGAATGTGGAGATGTACACCCTGCTCCCACCCCGACCCAAAGTCCAGACAGCCTCCACTATGCCTTGAACCACAGATTGCTTGACCAAAATTTTGTTGACCAACAGCAAGACTTACCTCAATCTCCTGGACTCTTTTTAGTCTTAGAGAAGATGAAGAAAAAGCTGTCTTTGCTTTTTGGATTGATCTTCTTGCTTCTGCTTCTAGTTTTGTTTCTGGACGTGGGTGGTCGTGAGCTCCTTTGGACTTTAGAAAGTAATTATGGTATATTAAAGGTAGAAGCAACCTTGTTAATAATCTTAAGGGAACAGAATTTATACCACAGGCCAAAATCACATATTATGGCCTAATTTAATGTTTTGTATTTAATAGGATTTAGTTACTGTGAGGTGAAATAATAAACATATCCCAGATGAAGTGGGATGGAGTAGAAACCCTCTGAAATCATAAAATCAGTGCACCACATTTATTTGTAGAAAACAGTCCCCCCAAAGAGCCCCAACTGAAGCCAAAAGGTCTTCTGCAGTTTGGCTACAGTGTCCCTGCAGTCACTTTAATTCTTCTTACAGTTTAGACATATTTATCTGAATATTAATTTCCATTAGCTTCCACAGATAATTAATTTTATTTAGCCTGCACATAAGTGAAAGAGTGGAAAACAGGAAAATGGTTATGTTACTAAACGAGGACTACAGCTTCCAGAAATAGTGCCCATTATTTAAACACTTTCATACACTGTGTTCCAGATATAAGTTACATATAATGCATAGATGGCATTTTCCATAGACAGTCCCTAGGGTACAACCATTTCCTGTTCCAAGATTCCCTCACGATTATGTGTAGTGCCTTGGAGAAAGAGAAGAGATAATATGGTATTTCTGACTTCTGAGGATTTGTTGGTTCCTATGTACCTGAGGCAAAACACTTCAAAATCAACAAGTTTTCACAGAAGCCTAAATAAAAAATACACTGTGCTGTAAAATCATTGTAGCATAGCCTAATTTAGGCTGGAAGGGCCCTCTAGCTCAACCTCCTGCTCAGGCAGGACTAACTTCAGAGTTAGATCAGGTTGCTTAGGACCTTATGAAATTTTTTTCTCCTTACTCATTTGACCTTGTCATATTCAATAACCTCTATTTGATGGGAGAAAAAAAGAAAAAAAGCCAAATAAAACTTTAAATACCAGTCTTTAAAATTAACTTACATAATGTTAAGTAATTTTATACCAACCTGGAAAAATATGAATTGGCCTTCATGCCTCCAGAAGTTGGTAACTGGGTAACCACCGTGGCCTCGGCAGGACAGGAGCCGCAGTGGTCCACTGCAGTTTGGACAGCATTTCCCTGGAGCAAAAATAGGGGGAAACATTTTCTATACTTATGATACCATGGTTCATTGGTGGCAGATTGCCACTTCTGGTTTGGTTTGGCTCAGAAATTACACTGAGAGAAACTATGTGAAAAACTTCCAAACATAAGCAAAAATCAATATAAACAAACTGATTATTGACTTTATTCTGTCTGTTATTAAATATAACCTTCAAAAATTATTTCTATTAAAATGTTATTACAATTTTATCACAATTTTGTCATTTATTATCATGGTCAGTTTTAGTTTTTCTCTTGTCAAAGTTTGGAATGTCATAAATGTTTCTAGAGAACACTGTTCTGGCTTCAGTGAGTACCTGAGTTATATCTTTCTTTAGCTAAAATGTACATCAGATCTAGAAATCAGTATGTGCTAGCTCTGCTGAGCAATCACAATTGTTTGGAATGGTCTTGTTAAAAATATGTGTGCAGCTCATGTTCTCTGTTTGCATTGTCTGGCTCCAGTGACGTGACAGTGGGGCCTATTTTCCAGTCATCACGGTTTATGAGCAACTTCTTTGCTGCAAGACTTGCCTCCTGAGTTATTCTTGGGCCAGTGCAATAATGAAGTCGACACGCAGGTGGGCGGGAACAGCAGGGCAGTGCAGGAACTGCATGCACTGCACAGCTTTCTCAGCACCCTCACTAATGGGCCTGAGAAGGCTGGGAACCAATCCCTAACCAGCAGAAATAGAGATTTTAAAAAGTTTAGGGAAAAAAAAAAAAGAAAATAAACAAGCAGCTGACTATGCCCCAACAATAAGAAGTGTAAAATGCAATGTTGCAAATCAAGAATTGCATTGGAATATAAGGAATGGCAGAATGAAGGCTGGGTAATACAAAGGGTATCCTATACTTGGATTTCTGCTCTGCTCTGTTCACTTATGAACTGCCATGTTTGTACTCACGCTGTTGTTTTTGCCTGGCTTTATCACATATGGCTGGTCTTAGGTAGATCTTCCTCCCATCCAAGGTAGAGCAGTTGTTACCACAAACCACCACCCCAAGGCAGGACTTTTTTAAGATGCGAGAGTTGTGGTTGTTGGTGTTTCTCATTGCCCAGCTGCTGTGGTGCCTCTGAGCATTTTTATCCTCTGAGCTATAGATATGTTTTACGTAGGAATCTGGCCATTCTTGAAACCAGTCTGTCTGCCTCACATGCTGTGGAAAAAGCAAAGCAAGCCATATTTTATGCTGGGAAAGAGAAAAGCTTGTCCAGGAGCTGAGCAGAGCTGGACCTCTGCTGGGTTTCCTCTAGCCTTGGTGACTCTAGCACCCCGGCAGGTGATGCTGGTTGTCAGGAGGGAGCAGTGGAGATAAGGCAGGAAAAACACAGATCTCTGTGGCTCCCTGCAGGCCCCAGAGCATCAGGAAGGCCTGGCCAGGAGCTTGTTCTCATTCACCCAACCAACCAATCAAAAATAATAAAAAATACTAAAAACCCCCCCAAAAAAACCCAAAACCCCCAAACAAACAAACAAACAAAAATAAAACAAAACAAAAACAAAGAAAAACCAACAAAAAAACCCCATAAACAAACAACAAGCCTCAAGGACAACAGAGTAAGGAGCAATAAAAATAAAACTGGAAAAAAACCCCAAAGACCCAAGTACACATCACATCAGTGTACACCAGTTGGTACAGTCAATACAGTAAAATGCAGTAAGCTGTAAAACATCTACCATACCTGATGATGATTTTGAGGGAAAAGTTCTTAAAATAAGGGATAAAAAAGCTTAGTAGAAATTTTCTTTAAATTGCTAATCCCAGGACTGAGAGCCCTGACAGCAGTAAGAACAACAACCAAGAAGAGAAAAATTCCCATGCTCGCCTGGTAGCCACTGGCTAGTGTAGGGAAGGGTGTCCATGATGTCTCCAGACTGAAATGCAGGTGAAGGTGACCTTGGGCTGAAGGGCAGGGGACATTCTGGAATGCAGAGGCTTTGGGCAAACAGCACTGTTATAGTAGGGAGGAGGCTGGGATCCAGTAAGAAGGCAGGGCTGGGAGTTGAAAGGCAGAGCTGGATGCTGAAGGACTGCAGCAGGAGGAATCTGGCAGAAATATGCAGAGCTGAGGGACAGGGAGGTGACATTGGTGTGCAGGGTGTGTGGGCTTTCACTGGAGAGCAGGGTTGAAACTTTCAGTAAGAGAACTAGAAAAGGACAGAGGGAGGGCAAGATGACTATTGTGCCTCTCAGCAAACCTCTGCAAACATAAGGCAAGGTTTCCCTAGGTGCTCCTGAAAATACTTGCTTCCATGTGAGAAGACAGCTCTGGAGCTGGAGCCCAAACTGCAATGAGACTGAACACCCACAGTAGCAACGCAGTGGTGGGTGCTGTGCTCCCTTTCAAAAAACACCACCCAGGGCAAAAAGCAAGACCTGGACAGCTCTAATTAAGTACCCATAGCGGGAGGCACCTTTTTTTCCTCTGCTTTCTCTGCACCTAATCCACCAGTGAAAACAATGCCTTTGCAGCATTGCTATTTTTCATGCATCAACAACCCTTTCAATAATACATTTAAGGAGAAATACGTGGAAATGTCAATATTTTCTCAATATGTTTTGGCAAAATTCCCCCACACCTCGAGGTGACAACGAGAATAAAGGCAATGAGTCACAGATGACTGAGAAAGCATTTAAGATCAGTGGTGGAGATGACTGGTCAGAACTAAATAAATTTCTACGACACAGGCACATACCTGAGGAAGTTTGATGTCATTGATATCCCAACTCGTCATTTCTCCATGTTGGGAAGCAGAGTCCTCCTGCTCCATAACAGAATCATCTGCACCTTTCAGCATTTTTGAATTCCTTCCCAAAGTTAGCAAGAAAGTCGCTCCTGGTTGCTTTTGAAGTTGCCTGGCTGTCAGCAGTCTCAAGCAGTTTACAACCAGGAAGCTGTTTCCTGAAGCTAAATGATAGAGAGGCTGCTCATTAAAGATAAAAATCAGTGTTCTTCTGCCAGAAAAACTTGTTCCATTAAAAGTTTTGCAAGCCAGCAAGGCAGTGGAAAATATAGCTTAGAGATAGCCTGTGATGTTACAGAGACATCATCAGCAGCAAGCAAATCGTGCGTGTGGCATCTGATTTGTTTGCTCAATCTCCTTTCATACCACTTTTATAGCCATGTAACTCTGCTCACAGGCTCTTTGTACATCTGATCCAACTCTGGCTCTGGATTCCCAGAGCCAAACTGACTGAACAGCTCAGCAGCTGTTGAGGGGTCTTTGAGTTGCTCCTTACCTATTAGATATTTCTCACTCTGCATGGTGAGAGTGAGAAATATATAATAACAAAGGTGGCAAAAGAGGGCTCTGCTCCACCATTTCAAATATTGCTGGTATCCCTGAGAGCTTACCAGCTGCACCAGGGAAGTATAGAAAAGGAGGTTGGGCTATCTGTATTTTCCTATTTCAATGGCAGACTGGAAAAAAAATGCCACCAAGGTATTTTTGTTAAAACCAACAGGTTTTCCCTGATTTTTTTTTTAAGTACGTGGCTGCCCTACTCTGAATTTCAGTACCAGCCAAGCTTAATAAAATATTTTGTTGGTTTTGTCTGGGGTAGAGTTAATTTTCTTCACAGTAGCTGATATAGGGCAGTTTTGGATTTGTTCTGAACACAGGGCTGATAATACAGAGATATTTTTGAGTTTGATCCTCAGGGATCCCATGCATGAAAAACTTTGTTTCCTTTGTTAAGGAGAGAAAAGGTGAATCAGTTTTTGCTTTCTGGAAACTGGGAAGTTTCTGTGTTTTCAGGAAGGTCATTATAGTTATGCCAGTTAAGGATTTATTAAAGACTACTGAGTAGTGAGAGAAATAAAATCTACCTGATAGTCTAGTACATAGACTTTCAAAAGCATAATGTATTTCACTGTTATTTCTGGCTCTGCATATACGTATGCCCTCAGAAAGTGATTTAGCCTCCATGTCCTTAGTTGACTTGTTTATAAAACACCTGTGATCTTACTTGCTCATGTTATATTATCACCTCTAAAGGAAGACTTTGTGGATTTTTGTAGAGCACTTGAGACATTTGCCTGTGTGGTTCTCTGGCATCATAGTCAGAGCACCATTGCCCCATGTTGTGGCTCAGATTGTGCGGGACAAAGAAGGAAAGCACCCTCCACAGAAGCAGACTCCCCCAGAGGGGGCCTGGTAGCCAGCACCAAATCCAGGAATCTGAACTGAGGGCACTGTACTGGGAGGGCAACCCAACAGATTTAAATGAGATGTTAGTATAGAGGAGAAGGGAACACAGTAAATCAGTAATAAAAACCTCAGTAAAGAAACATTAAGTCTCCATGTATTTTCCTACTGTGCTACAATAAAAATGGAGATAGTAAGGTCAGGACAAATAAAATACAAGCTGCATTAAAAAACTGAGTTGCATTTGCTAAACAAATCACCTTTGACTACTGTGTGCTCTAAAACATTAATTGATTTGTTACACCATTCAAAATTATTTTTTGCTTTCAAAATTACTTTTCTAAATGTGATGGCTTGGAAATTGATTTTTAATTTTCTTCATTAGAGAAAATGGAACATTTCTTCTTTATGCTATATTAATAGGTAATTTCATCATAATGCACAGAAAAAATGAAGTTCAAGAAAATCATACATGTTTAACTACTTGTAGGCAAAGCCTTCCACTACTTATTTCTCTAGACTCTTGTGCTACACCATTACTACTAGTGTTGCTGTGATATTTCATGGCAAGACAAAGTCAAAAACATAGGAAAGAAATAATATTTGAAGATCTGCTATTTAATTTGTATTTCTATATAACATCTGAGATAGGTTACAATATATTTAGAAAGAGATTTAAACCATATATTTTATGACTTAACTAGCAAGTATTTGGAAAATTTCCTCTGTTTTCCTCACAAGTACTTGATGTTGACCACTTAGGAAAAGGATTATGAATTTTTAAAATAAATTATGTATATTACCAATTTACATGAGCCTATAGGTTAAATTAATTCAATATCATCTGCAAAATTGTACTTGGAAGGACAGTCTGGCAGACCACAAGCACAGATAGATTTCAGCAGTTCTTCAGCAACCATGTACAACAAAAAACTGAGGACTAAAAAAGGCCTGGAGCTGTAAAAGGCTTCTCGCACTGAGGCTCCTGCTCTGGAGAGGGCTGTGCAAAGCCCGCAGAGCAGCGCCCTAGGGAAGCAGCTGTCCCTGCAGGGGCTGCCCGCTGCTGTCCCGCTGCCAGGCTCTGCCGCAGGGCGGGGGCTGGCAGCAGGAACACCTGGATGTCACCTGCCACAGAGCAGTCTCCAGGTCAGGCTCCTTACTTGCATCATTTCACCGGCACACAAAGAGGGTTCAAAGAGGGTTCTTTAGTCAGTGCTTCCATCAGTCTCCCTTTTGCTCTTTGGTGTCATCTTTCAGTGATGACAACCTTTAAGTGACATCAGGTGCAGTCAGTGGAGCTTTACCTGGGCTGAGTTACCTGTCCCACCAACAGCCTGTGTTGCACTATCTTCCATGGCTGCCTTTGTGCCTTGCCTCAAGTTCATGATTTTCTCTGACACTCAAAGTTTCACCCTGCTGTGGGAGCCCTCCTGCCTCTCCTCCACTGCCACTCTTTGCCTTTGCATGCTTCTTGTCCCACTTCTATTGCTGCAGAGTTTCATGGTGCTGCTCCACAGGAACCAAGGAACATGCACGTTTATACCAAGATGCTACTGATACTCCTTGAGGAATATTGCTCCAGACTGGCCTGACTTTTTTTCTTTTTTTCAAATACATTCTGTAAACTTAAAAATAACAACAAGTTTATCTTCCAGTTCAGCCTTTCTGTTTGATAACTGTGGCAGCAGGATAAAGCAATATGATTATCCCCAGACGCAGAGCATAATCTCACTGCAAATAGACGTGTCATTTATAATGAGAAGACAGTTTCTGCCTGTGGAAAAATGCACTGGGGATGCTGTGTATTTTCAATAAGCAATGAGACAAACTTTTGTTTTCAGATTGTCCTGATATATCCTCAAGCTGGCTGCCTCTATATTCAACATCATTTGAAATGCTTACGCTATCTTCACCGTTCAGTATCCAAAAGTGGAAGCTTCTCCCCTGTGATCTGGGTCTTGGAAGTTTACATATTTTGAGATGGAAATACTTTTAAATCCTTGGTTGGTTTTGTTTATACTTTGTTTCTCTTTAATTCTTTTCTCAAAACTGTTATTTTAGTGGCCCTTGAGATCTGTAACAGCTAATAAGCTCATATTTTTTTTCAGTTACCATGTTTCTGAATTCTGGACTGCTCTGAATAAGAAGTCAGTTGTAGGTGGTGCAGTTATCCTGGCTTTGCTGCTTCAGTCACATCCAGTGAACAATTTTTTAAAAATGCTTTTTAAAAGAAGTTTTGGTTTCTTACCTTTTCCAAACATCCTCTTTCTAGAGCACTGTCTCAGGTGACATAGTCTGCAGGTTTCTCTGGTTGCCGCATCACGTAACAGAGACATATCTACACCACAGATTGTAAACCAACAAGATAAGCACAGAGTTCATCTCAAAGCTCAAACTCTGATCAACGTCTTTGCCTCTTTTTTCTTACACCACTCCTGCCCTCGGGCTCAGGCCACTGCTCAGTACAGACACTCAGGGTGTCTCTGCCAGAGTGCTTGGGAGGTGCTGTGTGTTCCTGCACACACCAAGGATGGACACATGGACCATCTGCTATGGGGATATTCAAATCCTGCTCTTGGGATGATAATTTCTTGAACAGCTCTTACTCAACTCCCTGCACTCATCTTCGTTTTTCCTCTGTGTCAATTGAACAGTCATTTGGCTGCAATATTCTCATTTTTCATTTTCTGTTTTACTTTGCTGGCTATTTCCAGCAGACATGCAGCCGGGGACATGATTTTTCAGAGGCTCTACCACATGAGGTTCATGTCCACACACTTAGATTGCGCAGGGTAAATATTTTTGCCAGGCCTCTCAGTCCCTCTTCTTGAGGAAACTGATATTTATCCACATCTGAATTAGCTTCCAAGCTGTGTTCTCAGCTGAGAGCCTGGTAGTTAAATGACTTACTGTTGAACAGAATAGTATCAATACTCTGTTAATTTTTTCTTTCTTTTTCTCCAGGACAGTGTTTTAGTACCAAATTCTAGGAATGTGTCTTTTTCTGCCATGTGAAAAACATAGATCCAAGCGAAAGGTTTGAGGCCTGAGCTCATTTTGTTTGTAATGCTTGTAATTGCTTGTAATGTTTGTAATTGTTTGTAATGCTTGAGTATATAAAAATATATATTTCACTTTATTTCTTAGTATCTCTTTATTAAAGCTATGAGCTATAATTCTTTGGCAGGGAAGTCTAGGTTTTTATTTACTTTATTGACCTCTTCATTTTTTTGTCTTAACATATCAGACACTCTGCAAAACATGTGATGCTCTAGACATCATATTAACTTACTGGGGTAAAATTCATGATAACTATTCCACAGATGCAAAACCACCAGGCAATATACCAGCATTAATGCTTTGATGCTGTAAACAATGTAGGTCTGGGTAAAATTTTGGATTAATTTGTTCATATTTCTGAAAGCATAAACTATCTGCTTTTGTGGGGTTTGTTAATTTGTTTGTTTGTTTGGTTGGTTTTGTGTTTGGGGTTTTTTTTCACTAAGATCATAAATTCACATGCTTTAGCTGGAATAGTTGGTTTCTAGGAATTATCTAAAATTTTAGTTGGAATGCTTTTTGCAGGTCATGTTTAAAAATTACAATCTCTTAGTGACAGTATTATGATGCAATTTAAAATTTACTTTAGTTTATGGACATTCTGCTTTCTTATTTTGCTAGTTTTAAAGACTAAGGCATTCAGTCCTTTTGTCTCTTGATCTGATACTCCATTTTTCATCTTGCC